TGATTGATCAGGAGCAATATTTCAGTGTTCACTAATGTAGTGTTCATGAAAATTTACTGCAAATAAGGAGAATCAACTATATATGTGTGTATATATGGAGATAACTGGAAGAAAATATACCAATATAAATTTTCTCTAGGTGATAGAAGTATGAGTGATATTTCTATTTCTTATCCTCTCTATATTTTCACACTTCTACAATGAGAATATGTTGCTTTTTGCAGATAGAAAAAAACTGAATGAGACTTTTAAATTAAAAATTAAAAACAGGGCGCCTGGGTGGCTCAGTTGGTTAAGCGACTGCCTTCGGCTCAGGTCATGATCCTGGAGTCCCGGGATCGAGTCCCACATTGGGCTCCCTGCTCAGCAGTCTCCCTCTGACCCTCCCCCTTCTCATGTGCTCTCTCTCTCTCACTTTCTCTCTCAAATAAATAAATAAAATCTTAAAAAAATAAATAAATAAATACAAATTAAAAACAAAAGATGAAATGATTACTGGGTCTTAGCCTTAAGCAGAAAACCAAGTTTTAGAAACAGAAAATTTATTAGAACAGGAATAAAATCAGCCATGAAGTTCTGGTAGCATGGAGGAGGAAATGAACAAGGATTGTTGAAAAGGTCACATGATGTTGAACATAAAACCATTGCTCCAGAAGGTAAAATTCTCCCTTTATGCTAGCCCTCCCTCTCAAACCCTGACTCTTGCACCAGATTAAAAACCTATACAGACACATGAAAGGATGCTTAACATCAGTTGTCATCAGGAAAATGCAAATCCAAACCCCAATGAGCTACAATTTCATGCCCACCAGGATGAGTAGAATCAAAAAGGCAGATAATAAACATGGAGAAATGGGAATCCTCATGTACTGCTCCTGTATATACTGCTCCTGGGAATGTAAAATGGTGTGGCCACTGTGGAGAATGATCTGTAAGTTCCTCAAAAAGTGAAACAGCGTTACCATTTGACCTAGCAATTCCACCCCTAGGCATATACCCAAGAGAAATTACAACAGAGCCACACAAAAACTTGCCGTGAATGTTCCTAGCAGCAAGAAGATAGAAACAACTCCAACATTCCTGATGAACGGACAAACAATATGGTAGATACGTAAATCACATCGATATACACAAACACATGTATGCAGTGGAATGTTACCCATCCACAGGACAGATGTACTGACACGTGCTACAGCACGGATTAACCGTGAAAACCTGATGCCGAGTGAGGGAAGGCAGCCACAGAGGACCACATGTGGTAGGATTACATTTCCAGGAAATGTCCAGAACAGGCAAATCCACAGAGACAGAAAGTAGGTTAGGGATTGCCTTGACAAAGTGGAAACCACAGTCCCAGATCAGCTCTGGGAGAAGCTGAAGTAGGAAGAGAAGAGGGATGGTCTGGACGACACCAACCCAAAGTGGAGGGGAGGACCTGAGATGCCAGTGAGAATAAGAGAGGAAGTTAGGATTGAAAGTGGTCACAGAAGCCAGGGCAAGAGCGAGGGCAGAGGTGACCTGCAGAGAACAGGTGCGAAGCAGGACAGGTGGGAGGGGTGGGGGCAGAGTCATGAATAAGAAAAGTAGAAGGTCGCTGGTGACTTCTGAAGAAGCACCAAAGGCGACAGGTTCAGAGTCAGTAGGAAGAGGGGGCAGGAACCGGTGAATTTGTCAAGAAACCAGACCATAAAGGAAAGGGGGGGTCACGGGGCGAGGGCTGGGGGGGTCTTTCTATTCCCCCACAACAAGTAGGGTTTTTTTTAACTTTATTGAAGGATAACTGACAAATATAATTATGTATGTTGAAAGTATACTATGTGATGATTTGATAAACATTGTAGAGTGATTGCCAAGATCAAGATAATGAACATCACAGGTAATATAGTTAACTCTGGTTTGTGTGCATGCTGGTGAGAATGCTCGTGGTCTACTCGCAGCAGTGTCCGAGTGCACAACACCATGTTATTGACTACACTCACCACGTTGTCCACCAGCTCCTCAACGGATTCTTCTTGTAACTGAAAATCTGTGTCCCCTGACCACCATCACCCCCATTTCCCCCTCCCAACCCCTAGCAGCCACCATCTTATTCTCTGTCTCCACAAAACTGGCTTTTCTTTTTTTAGAATCCACACATAAGTGATACCGCATTTATCTTCCTCTGCCTGGCTTATTTCACTTAGCATAAGGCCCTGCAGGTTCATCCGTGTTGTTGCAAATGGCAGGATTTCCTTCCTTTTTTATGGCTGAATAATATTTGATTGTGTGTATGTACCACATTTTCCTTTTCCAGTCATTCATCAAAAGACACTTAGGTTGCTTCCATATCTGGGCTGTTGTGACTAAAGCTGTGACGAACATGGGACTGCAGATTTCTCTTCAAAACACTGATTTCAGTTCCTTCAGATACATAACCAGGAGTGGGATTGCTGGGTCACGTGGCAGTTCAAGTTTTAATATTTGAAGAACTACCATACTGTTTTCCATCATGACAATCATTTTAGGGGCACCTGGGTGGCTCAGTCAGTTAAGTGTCCAACTCTTGGTTTCAGCTCAGGTCATGATCTCAGGGTCGTGGGACTGAGCCCTCCATGGGGCTCCACGATCAGCACGAACTCTGCTTAGATTCTCTCCCTCTCCCTCTTCCCACTCCCCTCTCACACAGGTGCGCTTGCTCTTTCTAAAATAAAATAAATGAACCATTTTGAATTCCCAGCAACAATGTGTAAGGATTTCCTTTTCCCACATTGTCACCAGTACTTGTCATCACCTGTCTTCTTTATGACAACCATCCTACCAGGTTTGGGGTGATATCTCCTGGGGGTTTGGTTTGCATTTCCCTGATAACTGGTCATGTGGAGCACCTTTTCATGTACCTGTTGGCCATTTGTGTATCTTCCTTGGGAAAATGTCTCTGCAGGCCCTTCACCCATTTTTTACTCAGATTGTTTTTTCGCTGTTGAGCTGGATGAGTGTTTTATATGTTTTGGATTTAACCCCTTGTCAGATAGATGGCTTGTGAATATTTTCTCCCATTCTGTAAGTTGCTTTTCCAATTTATTGATTGTTTCCTTTGCTGTGCAGATAAACTTGTTTATTTTAGCTTTTGTTGACTGTGCTCTGGTGTCTTACCCAAGAAATCATTGCCAAGACCAATGTCAAGGATTTTTTTCTCCATATGTTTTCTTCTAGAAGATTTATGGTTTCAGATTTCACATTTAAGTCTTTGATCCATTTCTACTTTTGTGAGAGGTGTAAGATAGGGATCCTATGTCATTGTTTTGCATGTGGATATCCTGTTTTCCCAGCTTCATTTGTTGAAGAGACTACCCTTACCCCAGTTTGTGTTCTTAGCACCGTTGTCAAAAAATTAGTTGACCATACATGACTGGGTTTATGTCTGGGCTCTCTATTCTGTTCCACTGGTCTATGTGCCTATATTTAGGCCAGTACCATATTGTTTTTATTACTACAATTTTGTAATAGAGCTTAAAATCAAGAAGTGTGATGCCTCCAGCTTGGATCTTCTTTTTTAGAGTTGCTTTGGCCATGCAGGGTCTTTTGTAGTTCCATACAAATTTTGGGAAACTTTTTCTATTTCTGTGAAAAATGCCATGGGGATTTTGATCGGGATTGTATTGAATCTGTAGATACTTGGGGTAGCATAGACATTTTCACAATATTCTTCCAATCCAAGAAGACAGGAAATCTTCCCATTTATTTGTGTCTTCCTCAAGGTCTTTCATCAGTTTTTAGTGTATAGATCTTTTATCTCCTTGTTCAAATTTAGTCCTAAGTATTTTGTTATTTTTGATGCTATTGTTGATAGGATTGCTTTCTTAATTTCTCTTTCAGATAGTTTGTTCTCAGTGTGTAGGAATGCGACTAATTTCTCTATGTTGATTTTATATCCTCCAACTTCACTGAATTCATTTATTCCAACAGTTTTTTGGAATCTTTAGGGTTTTCTATATATAAGATGATGTCCTCTGCAGAGACAATTTTACTTCTTCCTTCTGAATTTGTATGCTTTTTATTTCTTTTTCTTGCCTAATTGCTATGGCTAGGACTTTCTATACTATGTTGAATAGAAATGGTGAGAGTGGACATCCTTGTCTTGTTCTTGATCCTAGAGGAAAGGCTTTTAACCTTTCACCTTTCAATATGATGTTAGCTGTGGGTTTGTCATATGTGGCCTTTATTATGCTGAGGAACATTCCTTCTATACCTAATTTAAGCGTTTTTATCACGAAAGGATGTTGAATTCTGTCAAATGCTCTTCCTACATCTATTGAAATGTGATTTTTATCCTTCATTCTGTTTATGTGGTACATCACATTTATTGATTTGCCTGTGTCGAACCATCCTTGCATCCCAGGTGAATCCCACTTGATCATGGTTTATAATCCTTTTAATGTGCTCCTGAATTGCTAGTATTTTGTTGAGAATCAAACAAGTAGGATTGAGTGTCGGGTGGCTGTGTATTTAGGATAGAATCACACATCAATAAACAGGGTGGGGATTGGAAAGCTGAAGCTACAGAAGAGAGGAAATACTCCAGAAAGGCTTTGCAGAGCATGGGCAGGGCAGGTCGACTCAGAACTGGAAGGAGCACAGCAACTCAACAATAGGCAGTGGATGGGTTTATAGGATTTGGTATAGGGGAAGGCCAGGGTGTTAAAATTGCTCACATCTAATGGCAAGTAAAGTTAAGCTGCCCAGAGAAGGGGAAAGGAGAAGATCAAAGGACTTGAGGAGAGTGATGAAAGCCTTCAGCCAGGATGGAAACGGCAGGTGTTCTGTCCAAGGCACAGTTAAGATAATGCTGTTCTCCCTGGGTATTCCTACTTCTCATGTGCTCTTGGCTGGAAAATGGCCTCCTCCTGCCAAGTTATTTCTCCCTGGTAATTGAGTACATTACCAAAGTTCGCAGGTACGTTTCCGATAACCCCAAAGATAAGTGCTTGAAAAATGATGTGCCTGTCTCTAAATCCCAACAGAAACATGCCTACAAGTCCTGTAAGCCCCTGAGTTCCTGGGTTAATGATCTCATCCAGCGAGTGAATTTCTTCAATACTTGGGCCAAAATGGCTTACACTGCAATACATCATCGGTATGGACAGAAGCCACTTTGTGTCTCTTCCTTATTTGGGCTTAGAGCTTAATGGTTTACCATGTAATTTCATATGCTTGGTCTTTGGGGTTCTCAGAGCAGCATGTGAATTTAGCAAAGGGGACTGTTGTCTTCAGTTTAGGATGAAGGCCTGGAGACACATGGGGTGCTGAGGGTCCTGTCTGCAGTCCATCCACTCTAAGGGATGGACAGGCCCGGACCTGGTACCTGACTCCTTCTGTTACTCTACACTGTGTCCTGGGAAACTAGCAGGGGGAAACGCAAAAGGAAAGGAGTATCTGTTATGTGTCATTTTTAAACGTGTTTAATACATAAATTGAAATCATTCGAACACGAGAGCAGCCAACACTCCAGGAGTGCCTCTCCCACGTCCTCACGTACCTGTCACAGTGGCCCTGTGACACACAGGAGGTTCTGGCCTCCATTACCCTCGCTGTGGACATGAGCAAACAGAGGCACAAGACATAAAGCAGCTTGCCCAGTGCTTCGCACCCTGAAAGTGGGAGTATTGAGATTTGAACCCAGAAAATCTGGTTCCAGACTGCCTCTCAGGCCATGTAACTCTGAGTGCTGGGCCACATCCTCTTAGAGAAACAGCAACTCTGGAACAATCCACAGATTCCTCGTGGCACAGCCAGGACCCCCTGCAGAGCAACACCCCTCGTCACCCAACTCCATGGCCTCCCACGTCCAAACCACAGCTGGTCCTCACTAAAGTGCAAAATTGGGTCCTGAGCAGGGAGAGCTTGAGATGAAAAGGGAAGGAGGGGCCTCAGAGGGATGGAGGCAGAACACGTGTGATGGCGGAGCCCTAGACCTCTCGGCCCCTGGTCTGCCTCCAACAGGTATATGAAATTTGTCACAACCTGGAAGCATTCCATTCCATCACCTACCCAAACCCCCAAATGCCCTGAAGATGAGCACAGTGATTTCTTTGAAGGATTTCCTGCAAGATACTGGCTCCCAGCTTTCTTCTTTCCACAAGGTGAGTATGAGAACACAGGCGAGTCTGTGCCCAGGCCCCCCACTGCTGGCCTCCCTACTCCTCCCCTCCAGCATGAGACCCTGTGCCCCACAGGTACCCTGCACCAGGGAGGTCTCCCTCCCTCCCACCCTCTTCCTTTCCTCACCCCTACCGCCACCAGAACACACTTGCACCTTGCCAGGCCTATAGGCCATTGATCTGTGAGGCCCAAGGCCGACACCACGTCTTCCTCAGAGGCCACTACCTTTTATCAGGACTCATGGAGGTGGGTACCTGCCCAACAGGTTGAATCTGTGCTTCAGCCATTTTCACTGATTAATAAATGATGCTGGGTCTTGGGCGCCACGCTCAGCACAGCCAACCGCATTCCAACAGTGTGTGTTTGGGGGTGTGATGAGGTGGCAAAGGGGAAACCCTAAATCGTAAGCACTGCGAGGGCAGGCCCAGGTCTGTCCTCACACCCTGTCGTATCCCTAGCATCTAATACAGCCCCCAGCACCTAAAAATCTCTTGGCAAATCTTTGAAGAATGATTAAGTGACTTTCTGTGTGAATATATATGAATAAATGAACAAAGGAATACTTCCGGAGCACAACATGGGGGGACAGAAACGAAGGTCAGGGAAGGGGACTCAGGAACAGCTTACTGCCCGTGAGGCACGTCCAGGTGCGTGCAGGTGGAAGGACGATACTTGCACGCTGATGCGAGACTCACGGGAGCCAGGGGCTGTTCCGAGAACACTGTGGACACAAGCACATCAGGTCTCATGACCGTCTTACAGGGTCCTTTATATCATCCCTGTTCTGAGAGAGGAAAGTTGTGGCGCAGAGGTTAGGTGGTTTTCCCAAAGTCACACAGCCAGACACACCTGCGGCGAGTTAGGAACGTGGTGGGTCTGACTTGGAAATCCATGTGTGTCCCTGCCGCGCTGAACTGGGAACTGAGTGTTGGAGCCAAAGGGCCAGCTACATGAGGGGAAGAGCACACTAGGGAGGTGGAAGGTTCCCACAGCCAAGCACAAGCCCCACAGCAGGCAAACAGTGTCCAATGAAGCTGGGAAGATGGACGTGAGCCGGCTCTGGGGCGCATAGGGCCCACTGGGGAGTCTGCCCCCTCCTGCGGCCCAGGGGCCATGGCCACATTTCAGGCCAGGGAGGAGCATGGGTGGAGTCTGAGTCCCAGGCAGTTCGGAGTCTGCTTTATTCTCCAGGCAGGAATTGGTGGTGGCCCAGAGGGGACCTGGACAACAGCCCTACACGGACCCCCAGGGAGCAGAGGTTTTGGAATGGCTCGGACAGCTGGGTGGACACTGACGTCCTTTACTAAAATCCGGACGCAGGGGGAGGAGCAAAGTGACGAGCAGTGAGGGGACAGCTGCCTGGCCAGTTGGAGACATTCGGAGAAGACAACATGATGGCCGGTGGGTGGTTGGCCGTTCGGGGCTGGAACTCAGGAGAGATGGGGGCTCCACAGACGGCGGGGCAGCATCGCAGGAGGCTCGGGCCACCGTGGGACAGCTGCTGCCAAAAGCAGTCTCCTCTCTCGGAGCCTGCAGAGCTCTGAGAGGCCACAGAGGAGGACAGGAGCCCTTCAGGCTGGCCACACAGGTGCCCTAGGAAAGTTACAGGGAGGTCGGAGAAAGGCCGTCCCAGGCAGGTGGCAGGTGCATGGACACCACGTGAGGTGCCCACAGCAGCGAGTAGAGGATGCAGGCTGCATGGCAGGGGCTCGACTGCCCAGGGAAGGCACTAACATTCCCTCTGTGAGCACTGGTGTGGTGGATTCTGGGCAGGGGCGTGAAGGCAACGTATGCAGGATGGATTAAACCAGGAGGTGAGGAGCTGTGTTAGGAGTGTTGGTATTCAGACACAGAATGCAATCCAAACCTGAGCAAAACAGAGTAAGTTCTAGGCTCAGACGAGTGGAAAGGAATTCAAGGGGTTGGGCTTCAGGAGCGGGTGGTTCCAGGGGACCTGTGTTACTCTCAGCCTGCCTCCCCCTATCCTAGCTCTGTTTCCACTGTGTCTGGGTCTCCTTTTCCCACTGCACACAGCATTTCTCGTGCAACCAAGGGGAGAAACGGCCACCACAGCTCAGCAACTCCAGAGGACACGTGACTTCCTTTGCCCAGGGCCTGGAAACCATTTCTTGAGAAAGACTCTGACACCCTCGGGTCTTGTCCTGTCCCTGGGACCCAGCTTTGTTGCTCCCCCAGCCCCCGGGAACCCTTGGGGAGGGCACAGCCCCTGATCCCCCAGACCCCTAGGGAACTGGTTGGTGTGTGTTTTTCTCCAAAGCCTTTCTTACTGCTGTGCTTCAAGACTACGGACGGTCCCAAGGAGTCTCCATAGACACCCTCACTTTTACCCACCACGTGACCTCGGACACCAGTGACATCAGAGACAACGAGTTCTCCACAGTCATCCAAAAGAAACTCAACATCGTCAGGAGGGCCTTTAAGGTACTGGCACGCTTAAAACACGGTGAATGTCCATCCGTCCAACCAGCCACTCCCTCCGCAGCCTGTCGGCAGCCTTCCCCTGGGCCGGGCGCTGTGCGAGTCCTAAAGGTATGCGCAGATCCTCATTTCCGCCCCCCTTTTTTTTCCTTAAGCGAATTATTACTTCTTCACACTTGTGAAATGTAAAATATACATAATGTAAAACTTCTTAACCATTTCTAAGTGTACAGTTCTGTGGCATTATGCACACTCAGCGTCCGTCTCCAGAACTTTCCTCCATGTGGAGAAAGTGAACTGTCTGCTCTCTTTTCTCAAGGCGCTAATCCTATTGGATCCAGACCCCACCGTGCAACTTCACATAACCCTAATTACCTCCTTAAAGGCCTCCTCTCTAAATTCAGCCGCGCTGGGTGATGGGGCTTCAACACCGGGATCCGGGGGAGGGGATGTTCAGTCCACAGCTGCACACCTCCCCTGCCAGTGGCCACCTGGGTTGCTCTCATCCCATCTATCGTGAATAGTGCTTCTGTGAACTTGGCTGTGCAAGTATTTGAGTCCCTGCTTTCGATTAATTTGGGTGCGTGTCTAGGAGTGGGACTCATCATTTGGCAGTTCTGTTCACCTTTTTGAGGAGCCTCATACTGTTCTCCAGAGTGGCTGCACCAGTCTGCATTCCCACCAACCATGCCCGGGGGTTCCCCCACATCCTCGCCCACACCAGTCATTTTCTGTGTTGTGATAGTAGCCATCCCAGTGGATGTGAGGTGGGGGTCTCACTGCAGTTTTGATGTGCGTTTCCACAGTGATGAGTGATGCTGAGCACCCTTCGTGTGCTTGTTGGCCGTCTGTGCATCCTCATTGGAGGATATCTATGCAAGTACTTTGCCCGTTTTTTCACCAGGATATTTTGTTGTTGAGTTGTAGGAGTTCCTTAGGTAGTCTGGTATTAATTTCATACTGGGTGTGTGGCTTGAGAGGATTTTCCTCGGTCCTGTGGGTTACCTCTCCGCTCCGGGACAGCGTCCTTCGATGCACAGAAGTTATTCATTGTGACGTAGCACAAGGTGTGTATTCTCTCTCCTGTTGTCACAGCCAAGAAATTACCAACAAGCCCCAAGTCACGACGCTGTCTGCCATGTTTCTTTTAAGAGTTTTAATAGTTTTAGCCCTTAAGTTTAGGTCTTTTGAGTTCATGGTCTGTGCGGTGTGCTGATATCCAGTTTTCCCAGCGCCATTTGTTGAAGGGACCTGTCCTTTCCCCATTGAATATCTTAGCACCTTTGCTGCAAATCATTCGAACCTGTTTATTTCTGGGTTCTCTGTTCTGTCCCATTGCTCTATACGTCCATCTTTTTGCCAATAGCGCACTGTTTGGATTACCGTCACTTTATCATAAACTTTGAAATCAGGAAGTGTAAGACCTCCAACTTTTTTCTTCAAGATTATTTTGTTTACTCAGTTGTCCTTGAGATTCCTTTTGAATTTTAGATGGATTTCTCTGTTGCTGCAAAAAATGTTATTGGGATTTTCATAGGGATAGCACTGACTCTGTAATCACTTTGGGCGGTAATGACACAAGTGTTGTCTTCAAATCCATGACTTCATCGTCGCTTTTGAAAACGGTCTTGTGCGTGCCTTCTCTTCTAGATGAATTTGACACTAGGCCTATAACGTTTCATTTTTTAACTTGGGATTTTGATCAGCTTGCTGTACATTTATGTATGAATTCAGGGGAGAATTGCTATCTGTTTGAGTCTTTCCATATAGGAACATGGTTTGTCTTTCCATTTATTCAGGTTTTGTTTTCTTCACACTGGCCTTAGAAATGTATGGTTACACTGTTTTCCTAAGTGTTTATAATTGTTGCTATTGTGAATAGGGCTTTTAACGCCCTACATCTTATTCTCTGTTGTTTGCTCTCTACCTGCAGTTATTCAAACTTGAGGTAAGGACACCAACTGCAAGTTTGGGGTTTCCTTAAAGCCACCCTCAGGTTTAATCATTTGCTAGAAAGACTGGTAGGACTCCAGGAAAGCGCTACACTTACAGTTTTATTATCGCAAAAGGATACAAATCAAAACTAGCCAAAGAGACACATAGGGCAGAAGCTAGGACTGGGAGGGTCCCAGACACAAAGCTTCCATGCCCTCAGGGATGTGTTACCCCCTAGTGTCGATGTAGAACGACAGGACAGAGTGGCTCACCTGAGCTTCGGTGTTCAGAGTTTCTGACTGGGGTTACATAGCCATATTTAAGTGAGTCACTGCCCCACATGGCTTCTCCCATCCCCGGAAGTCGGCCTGATGTCACCTGGCTCAATGTCCCAACCCCTAATCTTATGTTCGCTCTTTCTGCATGGCCAGCCCCCATCCTGAGCCATCTCATTAGCATAAACTCTCTAGGGACCAAGCCTGCAAGGGGCGGGGGGTGGTCCCAGGAGTAAAATCCTGGGATCCAGAGGTCACCTCCCAGGAACCAGAAAGAAGGCAAACCAAAAAAAATTTTTTTTAAGATTGTATTTATTTGAGAAAGAGAGACAGCAGGGAGAGTGGCAGAGGCGGAGGGAGAAGCAGACTCCCTGCCGACCAGGGAGCCCAACATGGGACTCGATCCCAGGACCCCAGGATCACAATCTGAGCTGAAGGCAGATGCTTAACCGACTGAGCCACCCAGGCATCCCCCAAATTCTTTATTATACATCCTTCTACTCATTTCTATTTTTTTTTCCTAATTTAAACTGGTCAAGTTTGCCTAATTTATCAAATACACCAAATTTTGCCTTTATTAACTCTAGTGGTGTTTTCTGTTTACCTTTTTAGTTCCTTCTGCTTTCTGGGAGTTTATTTTATTGCTCTTTTACTAGCTTGTGTTTATTTTCACCAAGGCACAACCTATAAAGAACACGAGTATTCCACTCAGCCCCCCAATCAGGCCATAAACGAGTGCGGTCAGCACCCCTCAGGGGGAACGTCCCCTCACAGATGGTCCCTGTTCTGGCCTTTCTCAGCCTCCGCTGTGTCTCCTAGCTCCAATTCCCCATGAGCAGGACCATGCGGTCTGGACCCTCCCGTGTCTGGCTGTTCGCGCTCCACAGCAAGTGTGCAAGATCCGTGGCTCTGCAGTGTCCCGTTGTGTTCATGTACCATGACTGAGCTCCCCCTGCGGGCCTGGAGGGCTGTCGTCTGGGCAGGACTATTATGATCAGAGCTGCTTTAGCATTATACTGATGGACACAAATCCTCTTTCGGCTTAGATTTATACCCGGGAACTCAACTGAGGGCCACGGCTAGCCGTACGGTTGTTCACGGGGGCTGCTGTGACACACAAAAGCACGGGGAACGTGCAGGACTGAGGTGAACAGCAGCTACCCTCACGGACTGGGAAGGCTGAGAACCTGGGCAGACACCCCAGGCTGGACTGGGCGGGAAGCGCTCCCTCCCAGACAGAGCTGCCAGGAAAGGCAGTGTCGTGCTCAGGGACCCACTGACACCACCTCTCTTTGATCTTAGGGCACAGACAGCACACACATGGGAGTTCACATTTTTGGTTTATTCATCGAGGGGGCAAGGTGGAATCATGAACAAAAAGTTCTAGAAGACTCGCCGCCTCGTGAGCTGTGCTGCGATTTTCCTGAAATCTACTTCTTGCCAACAAAGGTAACCCCCACGTGTCTATCGCCAAGTCAAGCCCCCGGGGTTTCCCTCGGGGACAGCAGGCCCTCTCTCCAGTCCCCACTCCCTGTGGCTTCCCTGAGACTTTTGAGGATATACTTCAGATGACAACATTTAAAATAGCCCAACATACTGTTACCATCTGAAATAGATGCTATGCCAACATCCAATGTTGCTTCTCAAGACTACATTCTGGGCAGTCCTGACAGGTCAGCCAGAAAGTTCTAGTCTCCGGTGTAACCTGCATGCACAGCCACAGAACCACTAACCGGAAATGCATGCAATTTACAACCGTCCCCCACATCTAGCACATGGAAGATGAGAGCTCCTGGTTTGCAATGTGACCATTGGAATTTTTTCTTTTTCTTTTTAAGATTTCTACTGAAAGAGCAAATGCTTCTGAGCAGACAGATTCCGAGCTCCACACGTTCGAATGCCCCATCTATCAGACACCTGAGCGGTCAAGAATTTTGACAAGCACTGGCTTACCCTCGAACTTTCTAACCTCCGTGTATTTACCCACAAAGACACCTCCTAGTCACTGGATCACAATGCAGGTCGCACTGCTGTGTGAGAAGAATGAGAAATAAATGTACGTACCAAACCATTTCATGCTTGACTCCAGCCACACTGACGTGTTTCAAGACCATTGCGTGTAGCCAGCACCCTTCACAGAGACATCCATGTTCAGCCAGACTGGACAGGTGCAGCCTGCCACGCCGCCGCCCCCCCCGCCCCGGCCCCAGCACCTGCAGGGGGACCCACCGGCTGCTCTCTGTCCTAAGCACCCAGGCCCCAGGCACACACCTCCAGGTGAGCACCCAGGCCCCAGGCGAGTGGGCCTCCCTTTCCGAGCGTGGAAACCTCCGCGCCCAGCAAACAGCAGTACTGATTTCTGCGGTTACCGACAATACAACACGCATGAGGGCTAGTTCTTGAGAATTCGTTCCCTGACTGGTGGAGCCCAGAACAGGACCTCCTGGCCTGACTGCAGGCTCCTGAGACAGGCGGATCTTCTTCTCTTAAAGAAGGGGTCCCAGGACATCACCAGCACTCATCCCACTGGAACCCCAAATCCCAATCGGGCAGCAGGTTGGGTCACTATCAACAGGCGCTTCTGCCGGCAGGATCTTTGCTACCGAGCACGGTGTGGCGCACACATCGGAACTGTGATCCTCAGGCTGCCACGTACCGTGGGGTGTCGGCAACAGCTCGATCCGGGCGGAAGCTGGGGCTCAGTGCGACGAGTCTCGCCCGGGCTCACTCTGCCTGGAGTGTGACCCGAAGCCACATCTGTGGCTGCCTTCCGTCAACAGCGGGCGTGCAGGCAAAAAGCCCCTGGCACATGCACAGATGACCAACCAGCCGTCCCTGTGGCGGGCGGGCAGCGCGGGGCCCACACCCACACCCAGATCCATGAGAGCCGCAAACTAAATGGTAACATCTTACTTTGGTGTCGTCTACACACTTGTCTTGAAGGTAACCATCCCAAAACCACATAAGCTAGTTACATGCAGCGGTGTTGAAAACAATGAGCCTAGTCCCTGTCGGTTAGAAATGAAGAAAATGCTCAAGTAGCTTCCAGAAGTAGACACGATTTGCTAACAGTCCATGAGCTCTGGAGCCAGGGCCCTTCCTGCCCGCAGTCCAGGAGTAGAGGCCAAGGGGAACGGACACACAAACACCTCACAGACGTGCACGGTCTTCCCACTGATGCTTGTGGGGCTCAGACAGGCTCGGAGAGTAGGACCGACCATGAGGGTTTGGATCGTTTCTCTATTTTTTCTCAAACAAGGACGAAATAGATGGCCCTTCGGTGAGCCTCAATGCCAAGAGCCGTGGGCCCAGGTCGCCTTTTGGACCCCCGCCCCCAGCCCCGGTGGCGGTGGTCACCTCCAGGCTCCTATGTCACAGGCGGGGCAAAGAGCCTCTCAGGTGCAAAGGACAACATCTTTTTTATTTCCAACTTTATTTCCAACTTAAAACTTCATCATAAAACTTGTCGAATGTGTCAAAAACAAAATGAACAAAAAATTATAGCTGAGATCAGAAACGGCAACACTATGCTGGCAAAGGCTCTTCTCTCATTCCCGGAGAGAGAAGGAAATGTCCTCCTTCCTGCCCCACAGCTTCCTTGGTCAGTCGAGCACAGAGCACGCGGGGACACGCTTTCCAACACCGGAGAAAAGCAGAATCAAAAAGCTGCTTGCTTCCATTAGTACGAAGAAAACACGGACAACTCCCCCAAAACAAGGTTTCAAGAGCAAACCGACGTCAGGATCACACTGACGGAGCCCGGCCCCACTGCCCCACGGCCGTACAGCACGGGCACGCACCCAAGTGTCTCGTATGTAAAATGCATCCTTAAAAACCCAAACATACACACTATATTCATTAGATTCCCCTCTAAGATAGTGAGAACAATTTAACTTTGAACACAAAATTTTAGTGAATTTGCTACTGTTCCATTCTAGGACAATTAATGAGACTCCATCAACTAGAATTTAATAACCACAGCTACCCTACACACAAGAAGTAAACTACAGCAGGGAAGTGCTTTTGAACTTTTGTTTTACATGAACGCCTCCTTCAGGGAGCAGTGTTCTGTGACTCTGAGGGAGGACAAAACACAGTATGAACGGCGCGACCTCAACAGTAGCAAAGCCACAGCTTTATTTAAAAAAAAAAAAAATACAAAAATATCAGCCTGAAATGGCAAGTCTTCAAACACCAATCTGTGTAAAAATGTTTAAATAGTGATGTTACTGCAAAAATATATATTCTATTTTTTTCTATTGGCAACAGTTTATAAAGGCAAATGAACGGCTGCGGTTGAGGTAGCAAAGCCAAATTCACAAACTTTGGATTAAGAAAAATACCCTATGTTTTAACAGCATCTTTATACAACATTAAATGAATTCTAATTGTTTTGCAATTTTTAATTGACATGTATTACTTTATAAAACTTAATTTAAAATACTGCAAATGTTTTTGTTAAAAAGATACTTAGTTCCTGACTATGTCACATTCAAAATACTGTACAGAAAAATCTGAAGTCCCCATATATTACATGAAAGCTATGTATTTACATTTTCAAATGCAGTTCTAGAAGCTGAGGGTAAGCGAACTGCTCCTAACACTCCCCCTTCATCCGTGGCTGCTAACGAGCTCTCCCCCCGCTCTTTGCAGAATGCAGTTAATGCAGGACCGGGGTCTACACTCAAATCACTTAACTAGTAAATGATTTAATTCCAAAGGAAATGGATGAAAATTCTCTTCTCTGAATATAACGAAACATAAATGTGCTTCGAAGGTCACAGTTGGTTTCATGTAAGAAACACCACCGACAAAAACAATCACAATTTGAAAAGTCACCAAAACCCAGACACCCATGGGTATTAAGAATGGATCCTTTCTCATTAGAAAGCAAATTCTAACACCTTTACCTGTTTCCTTCTGTTAATTGTTGTGATTTAATAACAATAAACATGGCAAGGTGAAGAGGCCACTTGGCCCCGCAGTCCTGACCAGAGAAGTAAGACGCCATCCGGGCCCCAGTGAAGGGCTAGTAGACGTAGGGGACGATGCGGTAGGGCACGCGTCGGCAGTACTGCTCCCAGGCCCGGCCATACTTCATCCGGCACTGGCGCTCATCACGCGCCTCGCGGTGAAGCAGCAGCAAGGCAAAGTAGATCACGTAGAAATAGGGCAGAATGTGCTTAAAACCTGCGGAGCGGCAGCGGACGCATGAGGTATCTTCACGATCCCGACACTGTCTTCCCCTGCTTTTCCTCCCAGTCCTCCCAAGTGAACGTGAGATTGTTCCCTTTTTCCCGGGACGGGGAAGCCCCCCACCCCCGGCACGTGGCAGAAGGTGGCATCTGCGGGACAGGTTCTGCAGGGCACAGGGACAGCCACGCCCTCCCACACCGAGTCCTCGAATCCACGCTAACTTTGCTCCCCCAGACTCGGCTCAAAAAGAAAGTGATCAGGTGCAGCTGCAGGTAGGGGAGCACCCAGCCCATCCCCCTTCCCAGGGCCCCGCGACGGCACCCCTGGACAGTGCTCACCACAGGGGAGGGACCACGCCAAGGCCATGATGAGATCACCCAAGTAATTGGGGTGACGAACGAAGCCCCACCATCCAGAAACTAGAAGATTTTTTCCGGTTGAAGTATGGATGGTTTTTAAATCTAAATAAAAATAAAAATACATTTATGATGATCTCTACACAAATAGACACACAAAATCTTT